GATAGACGAGTCGCCCTCCGCTACCATGATGGCTGATTATACAATACAATAAGGTCGAAAACTCCGTAAACGCTTTTCCCAGTATCTCCTGCGTGAAAACGGCCAGGGACTTAGCGACCGGAATGTAGGAACGAAACGACCTTTTATCTCCATTCCACCATTGGTCGTTTCGAAAAAAGAACGCGTTCTCCGATTGGCTGAAACATATTGCATGCTTCGTGTTCTTCGTTAATCTCAGAATCAAAAAGTCATATATGCTTTATTTGCACAGAATAAAAATGTCTATTTGCAGACGTTAGAGCGCGAACTTCGTTTATTCTTTTTCTGTCGTAGTAACGTTTTAATTCAATGCTACTCTCAGTACAGTTTGATGGGCAATTATGCCAGTATTTCTTTTCCGCAATAAGTAGAAACCATTGGAGATGACATAAATGTAATAAGATCGCAGTTTCGAAATTACGTCGTGACGTAGAGGAAATTATACGTATAATGAAGATGTGATATTAAATAATTGAACTACAATTATATTAAGTTTATTCTTACACGTGAATAAACGTAGCAAATTTTATCACAGACAATAACAATTCCAAAAGCATTAGGTAATAAGTAGCTAATTTGCTGTCAATGCCTAAATGTTTTATTACAAACTCTATTTGCCCTGAATTATCACACATGGTATTGTGATCAATTAACAAACAATAGATTATAATAATTATCCAAAAGCGGTGAATAATAATACCGCATTATTTATGAAGGGCAATTCTTACCTATATTTTATTAACTAATTAAGTGATATAATATTAAGGACCTGTCCCACCACTGTCTGATAGAGGCTCAGATAGCTTAAAAATAAAAATCTAATGTTTGGAAATATTTTACACGTTGGTTTGTTAGAAGACAATTTACAATTTGGTGGGACAGGCCCTAAACTAAAATAAGTAACTGATAATTTACATTTTAAATATTATAATAAAATACCGCATCTACGTTTACTGTTTTTGAATTTTCGTTAAGAAATAGCTTTGGCGAGGGAGCGGTAATTTTTCAAGTCTGTTATCCATCGCAGTTAAATAACAGCCGCCAGCTCCGAGATGGGTATTCATGAAGCTTATTTTTCATTAAGCGTTCTTCTTTTATAATTATTCTCGCATTATTATACTTTTATACAAAAATACTTGCATCATTTTTCAAATTTACGACCACAGCACCGTCACCAATTTACTCAATCAGCGCTATAAAGAAGTTGACATTAAACTAGTAAATAAAGAACGGAATACTCTACCACTAATAAAAAAAATAAACAATGACAATCATACGTATAGCTAAAAAAACACAATCTATTTTATCCTACTGCGATATGCAGTATGGTCACTCAAGTGCAATTTCTCCCGTTTATACCCTTATCATTTATTACTACGTTATCTCGCTCCGGTCTATTACAAGCGAATTTCTCATAGCGTATTATTATAGAAGATATTCCGGACGCCGCGCCGCTGCAGCGCTGCATTGCATAATTCTTTTTGCTGATACTTCAAAGTTTAATATTAAACGATAGTTTCTTCAATGTATTTGCAAAGTTGGCAATTTTTAATGTATTTCAAAAAAGGCTAGTGAATCTTATTTGATACGAGCTGTCGCTCGCAAACTTCGGGCGCAAATTTAGACCACACATTACGCTATTTTGACAGCGCGGTATTAAAAAAGTAGCCTATAATATGCTATATCAGCTACCCTTTAGTGAAAGTCCCGTCGAAATCGGCCCAGCCGTTTCGGAGATTAACCGGAACAAATGCAGCTTGCGGACAGACAGACGGATAGACAAAAAAAATCAAAATGCAATTTTTGTTATCAGCATCACAAATACATCTTCTTCCCGATATCTGGAAGTTTTCTTTTGATATTACAGACACTCCAATTATATTATATGTATAGATAGATTAAAATTTAGAAAACGTTGTGATCAGCTTTTTTTTTTCAAGAGATTCTTATATTTGCTCTCTTGTATCTAGAAATCTCGTCAAAATAAAATGTCGTTTCGATTGATCGATGGCATTGATTAGTTAATTAATTTTAATGAAAATTACACACTGATATTCATAAGTTTAAATTTAATACAAAGAGAAGAATATATGTAAGAATAATAAACAAAAATTCCATCAATAAATTACATTAGCTGTCCGGGGTATAATCTCGCAGACAATTTTATTTACTGTCGCCCTACTCACAGAAAGGCACTTTTTCTCTTGTTATACGCTTATCATTTATTACTCCGTTATCTGACGGGGGATATATGGCGTATATTTGTTATTACAATATTATCATGCGAATATTCAGCTGTAATATCGTGCTCGACTCAACTAAAGTGTCGTCCGAAAACTAATAAAAAATACGTTTGACAGATCGCAATCAAGATGGCGAAGTCATCTTAGATGTGTCTTTATATGATATAATATTATCTTAAATAATATAAAACACTGTTTATTAAACAGGACTTTATATTTTGATATTGCATAGTAACTGATATAATAATATTTTTTCATCATCGTGTTAATTATTGGACGCCCTCTGCCCCACTTTGGGGACATAGAAATAAAAGAGAAAGAGAGATAGTGTGCTAATTGTTTTAGAATAATTACGAATCAGTAGTTTTCTTAAAAAGATGTCTGTGTTAATTACATTTAATACAGTATTTCGCGTACTATTTCACTCAGTCTTTTGATGATTAATTAAACAGTTTTTCAGTGTACATTTTTCAGGCTAAATCAATCACTAATCACTGGTTAAATACTTAATGACTATGCTTGCGGTAATAAAAGTCGAAACATTTTTCCTTCAAAGCTGTAGCTGTTCTATACTTTAAAAATCGTTTAATCATTGAACTTAAAACTCGTATGAACCGATTTCACTCGATTCTCGGAATCGACGTAATCATAAAGCCCGTGTTAATTGATACGTCGATACGCGATGATGTGTCATGCGCGCTTTCAACTTGCGCAATTGTATTTGCTTTTCAAATCAGAGTTGCTCTGAACGAATAAAATCATATAATTTAAATACAATGCTGTTCCCACATTATACCTAGAGCTTGAAACACTAGTGAAAAAACATAGTGTTTTTTAATAACTAGTCTTATTGAAGTCCCTACCAAACAATGGAAGAGTCGTTTTTTACGTGAGGCTCAGGGATTCGAAAAAATAACGAACACACGAGAAGGGTTTGATGTACTCGTATAGCACAACAAACATTTTAGCTCGCCAGCTCAGAGCGATTAGCTCAGACTAGGATTAGGTAAGGATTTCAACTTGGCACTGTCAGCGTACAGATGTAGCTTCTCCAACAATAAATCTATTTCATTTGTTTTATATGTCACCAAACCCAAACTGATTACAGTCCAAAAAACATGCCATACTATCGCTAAACTATATGAAAAACGTACATACGACGTACACATCAGGGGCGGGGTAAGGTTTCATTAAAAAAAAACGAAAATAATTCTGACGTCTGATATACGTAGAGATCACAGACTAGTGACCGGTTTCCCAGCTACTTTTTACCATTCGTTAGTGTTGTTAGTTTGATAAATTCATGAAATGCGTTTCCGAACTACGTAACTTGAGTTTTACTCCATTGAAACCTAACCTAACCTAACACCATTCAATCAATAGGTAATGAAATGAAATGATCATAAAATCAAAACTTCAGCAAATCAGCCTAGAACAACATTTTTGAATGTTGACCACAAAATTTTTCCCTTCTTCCCATATTCTCCCACCAATAGCATTACGTAATTGATTTTTTAATTAGACAGTTTTAGGTATTTACGTCGAAGGTTCAATGTAACATTATGCAGCATCAATCACCGTTACCTTGACTCCTAGTCAATTGTGAGCACACAATACATCACCAGGCCGCTTGGACCAGGATAATGCGCGGCCCTAATTAAGGCATCGCATCGTCACCGACCGCAATAAAGGGGATGTTTCACCTTATTAAGCGAGATTTATTGGCACGCAATTAATAAATGATTGGACACCATCTTAAATAATTATGGTCATACTAGCTTTGACCCGCGACTTTGTCAGCGTGAAATGTAAAAATAAGTATGTGCCTATGTGTTCTTCCAAACTACATTTATTCTAAATTTCAATGAGAGCTCTTTGTTAGTTTAGGTTATGAACTCAAACAAACATCCATCCAAACCTTCGCATCTATAACATTAATAAGATTTTATCGTTTTGTCTTCTATATTTTTTAATCTTTTCCATTAACAAATGATAGTATTATTGATAAGGTTTCTTTTAATGTCACGATGTGTTCTACTGGTTAATTTTACTGTCTAAATTTAGGTAGCTTTATTTTGAACAAGTTATCCTATTTTTTTAAATATGCTTGTAGTATTTTTTAATGTCTTTTTATTTTTACTGACTAACTTATGCTTAATATGAGTATGATAAACGATGCCTACTTTTGTGATTGTATTAAAATATGTTTACAATCGTCTAAAACATACTAAAAACGGTTTTTTTTAAAATTACTGTTTTAATTATATAAATAAAGGAAGACCTCTTCTGTCTAAAATTGTTGTGATTAAAAAAGTATTAAAAACTAGCTGTCCCCGTGCGACTTCATCCGCATGAAATTATGAAAATTCTATTTTATTGTTTACATTTGTCAAATTATCAATAGCAAATGTCGAAATGACATGAGATGACAAACCTTGGCAATCTTGCTTCCTTGATGTTGGCAGCAACTTATAGTCTCTTTTCCACATTTAGGTTTTTATCCAAAATATTTACCCCTAAGTTTAACGGCGTGAAAATGTATAGCCTAAAGCGTGACGTAAAGTAGGTATTTTTATTAAAAAAAAAATTATTCAAAAATATGCTGTAATTGCTGACATCTTAGGCAAAAAAGAAGTATGTGTTTACACTTTATTATAATAGTATAGATTATAAAATGAAACAACCAAAATTTTGTATATATAACCTCTTTTGTATTTAAACAATAACTTTTTACAAATTTCCTAGAATTACATGATGTCTCCTATCAAACATTTCTGCTTTAATAACTATGAACACTAAAACTTAACTAGGCTTTACTTAATATTAACATACATAAGACATTTTGCAAACAAAAACATCTAACCACAAAGCATTATGCAATTTCTTGCAAGGGAATGTAATAAGAGAATCATTAATTTCCTTATTTTTTCAAAAATTTAATTTATACAAAAAACTTTTAAAGTATAGTAATAAATTAAAAATACAATATCACTGGCCGCCATTTTGTCTCTCATATATTGCACGTAATACAAAATGGCCACTAATTTTAATTACATCAACATTAGGCAGTGACTAAATCTAAAAAAAAATCCATTACAAATTACTACGTAACTAACACCGTACGTCGTATTTTTTAGGAGTTCCTTAGTGACCACGAACTCTGAGTACGGCAATAAATCTTTCATTACACTTAGCTTCATTAACATACTTTTGTACAGGAATGAGATTTGGCTTATTCTAATTGCTAATGTCTTTTATAATTTAGTAACTTGTAGGTAAACAACGACACTACATTCTGTATCAGTTCACTATATGAATAATTTAATTTTGATATTGTTATAATTACTGAATACTTTCAGTTGTAGATATGATATTAATAAATTATTTATATTACAAAGTGGAAATCTATTTACAATACATATACATTCGGTAATATTTTAATATTACTTATAAAGATTTATTTGTCGACGTTTAAATTGAAATTTGAATAAGGAGGTCGTAATTGGGTTGGTTCAGCGTTGACGGGAGATGGCGGGGTAGGGGGGATGTACGGGTACCTTGGGTACGGTGGGTATGGGTACGGATACCCAGCTGGGAGTAGCTGTGGGTTGTGGAATGGGGGTAGAAGAGCTGGTGATGGATATCCATAAGGTAATCCGACGGAGGATGCGGCAGCTTGTAGAATGGATGCGGCGAACGCTGGATCACTGTATACAGCCGCGTATGGCCAAGCGACCGCGATACGTTGACGTTTGTCCTTCATCCTTCGGTTTTGGAACCATACCTGTAGACAAATAAACGGGAATTTAAATATAAGGCAATTACTATAAAATTGTAATAGGAAATACCGTTTGTATTGTAATAAAGAAACTGGTTATAAACGTGAAAAAAATACTAGTTTTTGTTAAAAACATTTGATTCTAATTAACAGTCAGTTTGGTCATAAACACGGAATTTCGCGTCCTACTTTAACATCGCATTAATGTAAGCAAACGCGCGTTATCATACAGATTAATATTCTCTATAATCATATTCCACTTATATAAAACCGTATAACGCGTTTTCGCACACCATTGCTAATTAATTGTATATTTTAAAAAACAGCTGCCGGCAGTAAAATATTCAGTGCGCAGAGAGAAAACATTTAAAGCCATCTCGAAATCATTAACGCGGCATAATGGCCGTCCCGACAAAATACAACAGAGTATACAAACAAAGTTTCCCTTTAAGATGTCTTAAAACGTCTTTTGTTCGTTGAGGCAGCGAGTGACGTGTAAATTGGCGGGATTTTGCGGCGGCTTTCAGAAAATGGCGGATTTTCATTTGCGTTAAATAATTTTATACTTAAACATACTCATGTATTGCAACTTAATGTTTTCTAATATTTATGTTGAGCCCGACAAGCCTTCAATATAATTAAATTAATCGTAACAATTTATCAAGAATTAATGTTTAAAACTGCAATATTGACGAGGGAAAGCACAGTGAAATATTTCTGTTCAAAAATATGTGTTATCAAAGTTTTTTTGACGTGGCAATAAAAAGTGATCACAATAAACAAACACATGAAACCCGAATTCTCTGTTTTACAGCGCATCAAATGGTAGCCGCAGCTTAATTTAATAGTTTTTAATTGGTATAATCGCGCCGTAAAACAGATGCCCGGCCATAGACAACCGATGAAGTCTTTTCATATACACGCTCACTAATGATAGGCGTTTTATAACGTTGAGAGGGTATCGTTCTTTTCGGCATTAATGTTCATTAGAGTTCTACGGCTACTGAATAATTCGGCCGGTTTCTTTTATTAATGCGCATCGACAAATTAGCGTGAATGTAAAATTCGAATGAAGCAATATAAACACATGTTTTTTTTTCCGGGCCGTTGGATCTTTTTTATTAAATCGAAGTGATAATTGAGATTATGACTGGACAACCGATGTTTACGCGCGACTGAGAAATATTTAAATTTATATTAGCGTTGAATGCGGTACTTTTATTAATTACTTTTAAAGTTCGGATGCTTTCAAAATAAAAAACAAACTTGACGTCAGTGGTCGTTTTATTTCAAATTTGGAACGTTCTCTTTTTTATTTCACTCACATTCAGACAGTTGTAACGTGATTTCTGCGAATTAGCGGTATGCTATAAAGTGTTCGTGATGGAAATTATTGTATCTCTAATTGAAGCATCATTCTCAAGGCGTCGACATCATTATCAGTTGCGAGTTAAACGTCGTTGTTTTCAGGGTAATGTATTGTTCAAATATTTCAAATGGTTTAAATTAAATTTACTCGATGTTTAAACTTTTTTTAATGTGACACTGGCCGGTAGTTTACGTTATTGGTTTAAAAAAATGTTATCGGAAAAAAATGAATGGTGATTAATTACAACGTTACACCCATGCATATATTTTAGTGCTTTTAACAAAGTTTAAAGTTAAATTAGGCTAAAAAAGAATGTAACTATAGTAATTCCAAAGTATACAATATTAGGACATTTGTAACAAAGCGTAGGCATATGTCAAGCGATTGTCATATTATGAAACTGCCCTTTACTGCATGTTAAAATTGACCAGAGAGGTCAATTTTATTCAGGTCACAATGTGGGTGGACTGCAAATTATGAAGAAACTGCATTTACGAATGTAAAAAAAAAGAAAAATAATGAGTGTCAATTTTGTCACGAAATCTACTAAGGTCTTTTCTATTTAACACTTACACAATAAAGCACAAAACGTATTAGGTACTAGTAACAAAGAATTGTTACATACGTGCCATTAGTTGTGTGGAATGTTATATGAATAACGAAAAATTGAATATACCTTGATAGTAGACTCGGGTAACTGTAGTTGAGCCGCCAATTCGCATCTTCTCGGCCGTGACACATAATTCTCTTTCATGAATTCCTTCTCGAGACGTGCTAGTTGCTCCCGTGTGAACGCAGTTCGATACCTCCTGTTAGACAATTACTACTGGTTAAATAATGCAACAACTACAAATTCAAAATATCCTATATTTAAAAGCAATTATTGTAAATCTTGGTAATTTTTATCATAAGTAATTTTCGAATTATAACCTATAATCTTAAATATATGATTTTTTTTTTAAATCTGCCCAGTTTTTGAGTTATTTCAATACATAAAAAAATGCAAATCTTTCTTCTTTGCAATATTTTTTTAGCCATAGACATATAGTCCATTAGTTAGTCATAATTATTAAATAAAAAAAGCTTTTTCATTCATAATATACTGACCTGATATTAGGATCCGGTGCCGTGTTCGAGTTTGAAATCTGTTCGGACTGCGGGCTGAGTGATTCTGTAGACAAAGGAGAATAAATTCATTAGTCATGTTAAATCCATAGCGCGCTTGTTTCCATCAAATTACCGCAATCAACAACCCGTGAATAAACCATTCTATTTACATATATAATGTACTTTCATGTAGTATAACATCTACATAGAGCAGGCATAGTTTATTTATTTCTGTTTAAGAATATTGAAGATTTGTTAAGCATTTTTCGAATGTTGCAATACGCAATTTAAAACAGAAAATGATTTAAATAATGCATTAAAACGTATTGGCGTCTAATGGCCGGTTTCCCATTTAAATTACCATTCGTAAATGTTTCTGGTTCGATAATTTCGTTTCCGAATTAGGTAATTTGAGTTTTACTACGTTAAAACTTAGGTCAACCTAAGACTAAGAAATCACTAGGTAATCTTACTAATATTATAAATGTAAAAGTTTAGATGGATGGATGTTTGTTAGAGTTTGTAGCATAAACTGCTGAACGGATCACGATGAAATTTTGCATAGACGTAGAGGACAGTCTGGATGAACTATAGACTCATTTTGTTTTTTATTAATTGCATTTGGACGGAGTCACGGGTGAAATCTATGATAAAATGGAGACATCAGATTTAATAAGCTTTTTGACCGAAATCCCAGAAGAAAGAGGTACTCAATTCGTTTGTATGCGTTTTAATACTATTTTTAGACATGACTTCATATAAGATAATGATTATCAATAAGAAACAGTTCGGTTAAAGAGTTATAAGTACACTTCAAGCGGCAGCTTTTACAATTTAAACAGTAGTTCATCTCCATTATACCGCTTAAACTAAATTAGTTTCTTGTACTTAGGAATAAGAGACACCGCCGGTAATTTTATAGATAAGTTTAAAACTTGAGATTAATGAATCGATAAATATTTGGATACATCATCTCGGTTAATAGGAGATGCACTCAGCGACGTTAATTCGACACTAAAAAAGTTTCTTAATGTAGATTTAAAACTACACTAAGGAAAATTACCACTTTGACTGTATTCTTGGGAGTTCCAATTCAAATGTATTTTATGAAATCAATTTTTCATCGTTTTTTTTTTCATAACCAATTTTCAATCTTTACTTTCTTAAATAATAGGTATCTATAACTGAATGTGCCAGTGTTATCAAAAATAGAAAATAGAGTTGTAATTCCAAATGAACGTAATAAAAACCTTTCACCGTGTCGGTAGTATGTCACCATTCAGTGCTCGTATAAACGGTTATACGAATTTAAAAAACACAAGAAAAACTAATTATGCGTTGAGGTTTCAGATTGACTTGTCGTAAAACGGTATAACGCGGCGGGGAAGCGGCCCGTAGGTGCTAATTGTCCGCACCCAGAGTTTCAAAAGGAGTACATTAACACAAAACAAACACAAATAAGCTATTGTCTAATTAAATATTTTCCCATGCGTGTGTTCATGGACCTTATTTTTCTTCAGACATACGCACAAAGAAACCGAAAGACGATCGCCGGCGCGGTTTTTAAAAAAGGCGTAAGTGGTTTTTGCTTTCAAAGTTACTAAATACAACTATCTGATTTAATTTTTTAACAAAGCTTTCTTGTAAATAGATATCTACTGAATTATTTTAATAGTTTAATTATATAAATGGATTACATATTTTTTCAGTGACGATGTGAAAAAACTGAATTTCCGTTAAGAGCTTTTATTTGCTCGTTTTAGAGCTTTCAATGTTATAAATATTTTAAATAAGTTACAATAAGTTTAATTTATTTCGTAAAATGATTTAATAAGCACAATTGCTTTACTTTCTTATCCATGTCAATAAAGAATAATAAAATAATAACTGAAAGTTACAAGTTGAAATAACGTCCATTATATTCTAAAAGTATTGAATCATTAAGTATATATTTATAGTAATTTTTGAATACGTATAATGATTTACTTTTAACATGTCCCGCTGTCATTTTTTACCGACGGACGGAATTTAAAAAGCGGGAGCACCAAAACATCGACTTTACAAATCTTATTAGCCGCTGAAGTGGTTTTAAATTTACAAAAAGGGCAACACAGACGCGGCCGCTATTGACACGGCCCATTAAAACAATATTGAATGCTTTCAACTCACTTCTATTGTCTATGGTTTTGATGGCGGCATGATTAAGATGTTGTTAGTGGACCCTTTTATTTCCGGTTAACTTTTATCTTAATTAAAAGCTTAGTGGAAGCGAATCGATGGATATATGCCATAACATATTTCGGTTCTTTCATTTTGATTCGATTGAAAACTATAATAATATATATTTTACAGGCCAATTACAGACAAATTAACTTAAATCTATGCAAGCTTATTAAAAACACAACCATGTTTAACCGGAGTATGTAAAATAAAACATCTTGATATTCAATAAACATTGCATGATACTCACATTAAGTGATTTTTTTTATTGTTTGAGAACTGGCGACTTAACCACTTGAACGCTTCCCATGCTGGGTGGCGACAGAACACTCAAAAATCAATTTGCAACAGTCTAGCCGAGGGCTTCCTTTCGGTAGCTTGTTAACAGACTTTTTCAAAACATCACATTCATTCTTAGTTTAACTGATCGCCAGCTGCGCGGGCGTGTGTCCGATTTAGAAAAAAAAATACGGAAACGTCATAGACAACGAACAGATTAAAAAGCTACCGTCTAAAGAGCTTCCGACTCATAAATTGCATTTGTCGAGACGCTTAATTTGTCTGTTTAAGTTGTTTGGAATATTTAGTGGAGAATTTATATATTCTTAAAACATACTTAATTACCTATGACTTGTATTATAGTTTTCGCTAATGGTATAGAATAATAAATTTGTATGATAGGTATTCTAGAAACTTGAAATTCTTCCATTCTATGCATTGTAATAAAATTGCGAAAGTAATAAGTTGGTAGGTAGATACGACGCACAGATCTTCTTAGAAATTACGTACATTCGCTGGTAGTCAAGATTATCATGTAATATAGACACACAATTTCATTGACTTGTTATAAAGAGAAAAGATTTGTGTTTTGTATGTATTGAAACTGAAAAACTACTAGGCCAGCTATAAAAGTTCTTTCACCAATAAATTGCTACATTTTCATTTATTTCCCCGGACGACGTCACGGGCAACAGCTAGTAATAATATAATGTAACTAGTCCTTCTAGTTATTGGTATGATGTGCTCATTATTTTAATGATCTATAAACATCACTCGAAGATACGCAGCACTTACAGTGTCGTGTAGTTTCAGTATCGTTTCGAAACGTTCCGTCGGCCGCGGCCTTTGTTTCAAAATATACGCTAATTCTATAAGTACACACTTGGAACGGTTGTAAACTCAAAACTGGTAAAGGCGATGACACATTTGAGTACATTTTACTTGAATAATCTTTAAACTTCCTTAAGATATCAATAGGATGGGTTACCCCCGATATTTTAAGTCAATAAAGAAATATAGGCTGACTAGTTATTTATTAATTTTATGTGAAAGAACAAATACCTCTATTAAAAAGCTTTAAACTTTCCTTTGCATTTTACTTAGACATTTTCATTTCATATACAATTTTCGTATATTTAAAATAAAATGTAAGTCTTTGTTTTAAGTTATCAAAATATTTTTTGAATATTCACAGCCAATTGTCACAGAGTGAATGAATAAAAAAATGTTCGTTGTCATACCGCACCTCGATATATCGATAAATTTAGAAACCAATAGATGACTATACATTATTGAAACGTTATGAAACAGCAACGTGTATCGCCTTTTAACACATGTTTCCGAACGGGCATCTAAATCATTTACTAATGAGTGATGTATAGATGGGAACTGAGAACTTTGCAATCGTGATAAGTGGCCGCAAATGAACTCCACTTTGAAGAATCAAGATGTAATGAAACAGTTCTGATGTGTCCTAAATTTTACAACACTTATTCACCACATTATAGTCATGGTAACTACCATAAACCGTTATTACCATATGCCGTTAATTTTACAAAACAAAACTTTTCAGTTATGTAAGTGCGAGCACACCTTTGACTGAACTATCACCCAACTGTGCGATTGTCGATTGTTTGGCAGACAATTCAAATGTGTAGTTGAGCTACTAAAAATTGATTAATGTAACCTCCATAAAGCTCATCGGAATCAAAGTGCGACTAAACAGTTGTGCGATAGTTTTTCAAAGGTATGCGCTCTCTAAAACTAGTTTAAACTAACATATCTCTACATAGTTAATACCGAAGTTAATTGTATATCCATATTTGTTATCACATAAGATACGATTTGCATAATTACGCTATAAATGTTATAAACGCTGAATGGTTAACAATTTAGGTCATTTACGGTTAATTGATGGTGACTGAGCTTAATTTGCAACAGACCGAATGGCCCTTGTAATAGGTGGAAGCCGATCGCTATCCATTAACCATTGGAATTATCGAGAATTGGTTTTGGCCACCCTCGTGCGATCCGCAGGCGGCCGGCACGCGTCTAATTGTTCCGGACATCCCCTAGATGTTCATTGCTCATTGACTGACCGGTTATCGTTCCGTCGATATCACAACATATACATCATTTTTATTACAATAACATTCTTATATCAACCCGTTCTGACGCGGAATTAATGAAATATTAGATAGCATTGATATAGTTTTTATGTAACAAAATTTACTAAAAGGTTTAATAAAATAAATGATGTAATTCCACTTTCTACGACACTCATAAATTATTATGTTTGGTTTATCAATGCTTATTTTTTGTATTATTTAATTGTTGTATTTTTTTTTTGTAATGTTGACGTGTATAAAATCTTCAATCAGGATTACACTAACTCTCAAAGGAATTAAAACAATTTACACGCTCGCGAACAAAACATTTGCCGAACAATTATCCAATACAAAGCCAATTATACGGTGTCATCCCTCGGCGAGCTCCCCTAAGCCAATTTTCATAATAAAATCCGTATCTACTAGTCGGCAACGATCTAATGAAGATAAATATCACAATGGGGAGTCGGCAGCAATAAAAACAAAATCAGTTTAAGCCCAATTGACAAGACATACTACCTATTACGAACTGGACCCTTCGGTCGTGACGTACGATTAAAAATGGCGATGAGCTGTCAAATTTTGGCGCGAAATCCACCCACGCATTGACATTCCGTAGTTCCGAATTACCCACAATGGTTTTAATTTACGCACAATTGAGCTTTGTAATCGTATTAAAAGTAAATATTTATTTGTGGTTAAATACGACAGCTGTTGTAACGGATACCATTAAATTTACGCGATAATTGGTGGGACGTGTTTGTTCTTTTAACATAACATAAAGCTTTTAACATAAACTATCTTGTACACTAATTCAGTCGAATTATTACGAAAACAACTTTTATTAAAGTTAAACTAAGTCTAAGTTAGAATCACGTAAAGTTACACAAAAAAACAGAATCAAGGATTTTGTCCATGTATTTAAAAATTCAATTGAGTTAGGTGAAATCACAAGCAAACTTTATAACATTTTAAACCGAACAAAGTACAGAAAAATTATTACAAAAAACAATGTTTTAGTTTTAAATAATTTTATTGGCCACTAAATAGATTTACCTAACGGTACTAACAGACATTATCTTGCAATAAAATGCCGCCTCCAATAGTAAACGAAATTGCCCACGAGGCCAAAACATTTCTGATTTTAGCAACAACTTAGCCGGTATCTCTCAAAGCGGTTGTAAAAACCTCATAATTGCTTTAGTGTTATGACAAATAAGCTATTATCGTTCGTGGATATATTAAAACACATCTATAGCTCTTATCACTTTGTGTTAAAGTCGAGAATCGTGTGCACATACTATGCATTAACGGCATTATTAAGATAACCATACCTGCTGAGGCCAGGGTCTGTTTACAGTTCATTTTATAAGGCTATATTATTGTTCGTCTTCGGCGGTCCCTTTGATGGTGCACTAAAATATTAAAATAGTCGCTAAATAGTTACTTTAGTAACAAACGCGCCTTTGCATTTTATTATCGTTGTTTAGTCCCGTTAGATATTCCAAAATGTTTTTAACAAACAATCAACTATAAAGAAAAGGACAACTGCTAAAATGTAACATTTGTTATTAAAAAAGAAATGGATAACTTTTAAAAATATTAAATCAGCATCTTAAACTTAACTAGAACTCAATACTTACTTTTGTTAAAAAACAAAAAACATTCTAATTGTTTTAAATTAAATTTATATCTAACTTTAATTAAGTTATTATTAAAACAATTAACATAGAATCTAATAATCTTACTGCAACACTAATGATCATTAACTTGTGTTCCTTAGTGTAGATTTAATATAAGTAATTCAGCCTTAGTGATGTTTAGTAAATAATTAACAACTTTGAGTGCGGCAGTTAGGATATAAAAGTAAGCATTAACTTATTATTAAAAGGTTTAAGAACCTGAAGAAAAAGACGATATTATACTGTATTTTTAATCAATAAATAAATAAATAAGTAAACTTTAGTAACAGCAGAGATAATACAAGATTATTCTAGTAATAGATAATTATGAACTAACCTTTGCTTTTCGGTGATGACGGTGGCGTATTTTGTATGGTAATGTCACTATAAATATGACCTTTCGTCATCAAATCTACGGAATAAGATTCTTGTAATAATTTCGAATCCATTGCGTAATCTCTTAGCCCTTTCATTAAAAAAAAAGCAAGTAAAATAGAATAAAAACACTGGCAAGTAAGAACCGGCGCGCGCGGGAAAGAGAACTGTCACTGTCAGTTAAAGTGTTTCGTGCCGCCTCACTAAAAATCTATAATACGACCACCAATAACGTCATCTCTTTCTTCCCCACTACCAATCAGGGCGTGGTCTCGATTATTGCTCTGTCTCGCTCGCTCACGAGCTTACGCGGTTACAAGCTTACGCTGAAACGATTTTCTAAAGCTAGGGATGTACCTGGCCCGACTCTTATTTGTTTTAACTGGATTTTACGATTCATTTCATTTGTTTTTTTTAGATAATTAATTTTGTTTCAAAGAATAGCTTAATCATGCCATTTGACTGTAGCATTTTATTAACAGTTTTTATTAGGTGTCTTATTTTTATTAAATAAGTAATTAAACGATAAAATAAGTAATAGTTATGTTACTCATATTATAAATGCGAAAGTTTAGATGGATGGATGGTTTGTTAGAGTTCGTAGACTAAACATCTAAACTGATCTCGATGATATTTGTCACTAATGTAGACGATAGTCTGGAAGAACACAGAGGCTTATGTTTTTTTTTATTTCCACGCGAACCGAGTCGCGGGCGAAAGCTAGTTAGTTAATATAAAGTACTAGCTGTTGCTCGAGACTTCTTCAAGTGAAATTAAAAAATGTAGCCTATATTCCTCAGCGATGACGTAGCTTTTTAATGGTGAAAGAATTTTTGAAGGTCCTGAAATTTTTTAATTATTTCAATAAATACTAAAATATAAATCTTTTACCTTTATGATATTAGTAGATTAACCCGAGCACGTATTCGAAATAGAACAATGTTAAACGGCGACCAAGAGTGTATCTTTAATATAAAGTTCGCTCCCATTGTGCCTCAGCTGAATTTAATCACGCAACTCATTTCACTTTAACACCCCTCGCGCGCCTCCCAATGAGCGTTCAGCACTGAACATCATAGAACCTTATCGCTCGTCGGCCCTATATTAATGTTTCATAACTACGTACCTACATAACTACTAATCAATTGCTCAATGTTTGCTTTACAGATTGAACTTATTTTTCTCTTTAAAAAAAGTGTAATGGAATATCTTTCGTCTGCGAATAGATTAGTGTAAATGCAATACACAGAGAATGATAGATAGATGAGTAGACATATGGTTTAATTGTTTTACGAAAATGAGGGATAGAATTCTCAACCAAGTACCCAGAATAATAATCATGAGGTTGACATAAAACAAAAATGTGGAAGCAGTAAAACCCAATTTTAATGTAAAGATATACAAATTTATAAACAGAAGGTAATAAAAGAGAAAATATTGTAAACCAACGTTCATGGGTTGGCCACAAACAATGTATACCACTCTATAATTGAGCAAAGACAATATTTGTATACCATAAACAAAGATTCAAAGAAAGTATTGTGTATCCGAACGTTCCGTTTTGTAAAATTGTATTGTTTCGGCGGCAAAACTAATAAATGTCACGCTGCGATAAATTGGCGGAGAGAATCGTCCAAAAACCATTCTTTATATTGAAGTGCACACAATGTTTGTTGTGTGGAATAAACTGCTACCGTTTTTGAACGATAATTTGTCAAAATTAAAGCGTTAAGTCTTGTGGAATATGACGTATTCTTGAAGATTTTTCTACGAAAAGCTTAATTAAAAAGCTTTGGTTATAAGACAACAATATAGAGAATTTAGAATCTAATAATTTGTTTTCTTTTACATACTCAAAGATATATCGCCTTAAAAAGTCTGTTTGAATATATCGATTGCTGTTAATCAATTGGTTTGTTCACAGAAAGAAAATTATTGACCAATAGCAGATAGCAACATCTTTTTTCTCTCTAAAACATTTCAACATATTTTCAATACTAAAATTAATCTAATCCAAAATGATGCATTGGAATATGCACAAAATCGATAGTAAATAAATTGTCAACGTTGGTTGTTAGTTAAGTTGCAGGTTTAAGAATATTTCTTCTTTGAATAAAACTTATGTAAAGTACTACAAGTATTTGTTTAAAATAGACTCAAATCATCGCTGGATTTTACTGCAGGGGTATTATCTGTTTTTTTCATAAGAGAGGAGGTAAACGAACAGCGGGAACACCGAGATGTTTATCGACGCCCATGGACATATACCAGAGGAACTGCACATGCGATTTTTCTAAAGAGAATAAGCGCGATGTTCTATAAAGTTTCGACCGTGGAAAGCAACTGTTTTTTGATCATTATAAGTTGACATTAATTAATTTAATTGATTTGCGGTGTCCCCTAATTGAGGTTAAATGTTATGATCACAATTTTTAAAATCCTTTCTTACTTGAGATAAATGAAATCGGTATTTTACGAAAACATTTTTCATCTAAATTTTAGAATCGTCTTAATACATTCATTTATAATTATAATATCTTAAAGTGACAATAAAATTTTATTAACAGATTGAAAGCAAATTAAATACAATAGTAATAAATTTTAGACAAAAACCCGCAATAGTAAACCGTTCTTTTAAGTCAGCGACGGGATCAGTGCCTTCTATTCTATTTGCTAAGTTATATTGTGGTCAATAAAAATACCGCTACGCAATAAACAAGTAAACCACTTAACGTTTTACTTAAAATTAATACAATAAAGTAAAGTTTTTATTGATAAAAAAAATTGTATTAACTGTAAATTGTATGTAATTGCCGACAATTTTTTCCTCCGTCAAAGAAATGTAAAGGCGAAATACAAGTTAGGTTACGAGGAATAATTAATGTTTAATAAGCAAATGTGTGTAAGAATTTACAAGAAAAACACAACAAGTTCTAATCATTTGTGGAAAAAACGGAAAAATTGATACCAATATCATAAAAAAGTATCAATCACTTTTTCTGTTTGACGTCCTAAGGAATTCAAGATTTTTAGAAGCCTGTAATTTCCATAAATGACGTTAAGATTTGTAGAATTTGAGCGACAGTAAAATTATTGTTTTCTTTTCTTTATAGCATTTTTTTAACTTAAGAATTAAGTTCACTGGAAATGATTTTTCTAATTGAATTATAACCATCGCTCATTAATAAATATCTGGCATCCTGCAAAAGTATCCAGTAATAAAAAGAATTTACCTTGTGGTCTGTCGTCCGCGCCGTCGCTATCCACTTCGCTTCTAATACTTGAGGGGCTGGACCTCTTCAGATCATCTTGACCCTGTCCCTCCGGGTATCCATTCCTCATCGCTTGCTTCTCATACGACATGAAAAAAGGAAAATTCGGAACCCGACTCTGTTGAAAATAATATCCCATCTTCGCATCCCTAATTTTCACGTCTTCATCCTCCGAATGCGTATTATCAACCGTATAATCTTGCGATATATTGTTCTCGATGTCGATTTCCGGCGATCGACGATCATTTAATCCGACAATCGATTCGATTGAGAAGTTTTTCGGTGGTATTTTTGTTTGCATCTTGCTTATTTCCGATTCCATCCTCACAAAAACGGTTAAGTCACTTCACTATTAGTCACTGGACACTACGAACGCGACTTCTTCACTGACGGCAGTTTGAATTTGGAATGTTTTCGTAGTTCGAACGCCCGACAGTCGTCTTCTCGCTTGAGCTTTGTTCGCCTTTGAGCGGATCGAGACCACGCCTCCAAGGTATGGGGGAGTTCAGTAAACATAAAGTTTGTTGAAAATCATTCCTATCTCATTATGTTAAAGTTTAATTTCAATTGTCTACTGTTACTTCAAACATACATCTGTACAGTAGAAAGAAGTTTAAACTTAATTCGTATGGCCGTTCGGTTTACTTAACATTGAACTAATTTAAGTAATAAAATGATAGTAATCTACTGTGGTTTTATGTAAAAAATAAAGATTACAAAAAATGCAAAGCACTTTAATAGCTTAATATATATGATTTTTATTGTTTTATTTAATTTTGAAATAAATAAACTTTATTATAATGAGATGTCTTGGTCTTAAATATGTTTGCTGAGATTTCAATTTCAATACCGAGAGACTTGACCTGTTATTTCATTACTAACTATTTGTATTTCCAATAGCTGATAATGTGACATGTACTAAGGCTAGATCTCCATAATATACGATTTAACAGTATAGTTCTACTGTTCTAACCAAGCGGCTGACATAAGCAGTAACAGACGCGAAACCAAACATTTGTAATTATAGTATCTAGTAATATTAACTAGATAGAGTCTGGAGAACTGACCGCCAACCTTCGCTAGTCGGAGAGGTACCTTAATAAGTAGAATATTACCTAATTTAGAATACTCTTAGAATGATTCAATGATATAAGGAGGCTATTAGCCCCACCCTGGGCCCGGCTGTGATGCCAAAGGTCTGATAAACCTATCCCACATGAAACAAAAATATTTACATTACTTAGCTATTTTACTTATATTTTAATATTTCTATTGATGAAGATTTAGAGAATATGCTAATTTTCGTTAATTATCAAAGATAAATTATGCTGATAGAAAACCTTTGAAAAGTTTATACATCTAGCGACATCTATGACCGAATAGGCAAAACCCCAAAACGCGCCATCTGCGGACGAGTAGTAAAATTATAAAAAAGAACTTTCAATTTAAAAATTTGAATTTTTTTCCAACAGATGTCATTAAATAAAATTAAAAAGTCATTGAAGAAAAAAACAAAAAAAAAACAGGATTAAACATGTGACAATTTTCAGAGTTTTTAATAATAAATATATAATATAGTACAAAAATGTCTAAGCTGAAGCTACTAAAGTTTTTATAATTAAATTAGTATTGAAGTTAACATTGACAATTTTTGGCATTAAATTTTGTGCATATTATGCCCGACTAATTTTCGCCTGCGACTCCGTCCGCGTGGAATTAAAAAAAATCAAAACCGAGTAGCCTATATGTTCTTTCAGACGTTTTTGCCAAACATCGAAATCCGTTTAGCCATTTAGGCTACAAACTCTAACAAACATCCATCCATCTAAACTTTCGCATTTATAATAATAGTATGATTAGTAGATATTATTACTGGCCTCAAGAAAGGATTTGTTATTTTGAAAAAAAAACGCTTTTTCATAACTCTATGCAAGTTGTCACAGTTTCTCATAAGATCACAATAAATCAAACATCTTAATCTCCATGTCAATGAAATACGATTCCAACCAAGGAGTATTTTATTGTGTCTTGTTATTTAAATATGTACAGTCAAATAAAAATGTGTTATCAATACAGTTTAGCACAATGTAGGCGCAATGCCACGAGAACTCAATGTTAACTCCAAGGCTACCTTAAAACTGCGCGCGTTAATCTCAACAAATACGACTTAGCAGACGTATTCAAGGGAAATATGTATTTACATACTAGAATACGGAATGTTTAAATCAAACTAGTTTTCGTCTGTGACTCCGTCCACGTAGAAAAGAAAACAAAAGTAAGGAGTCTATGTGTTCTTACAAATTACCAATGCTCTAAATCTATGTCTTTCATCGAGATCCGTATAGCCATTTGGGCTACAATCTCTAATAAAGATCCATCCATCAATATAAACTTTTGCATTTATATTATTCGTAAGGTTAAACATATTTGCTTTAATGTGTTCTAATACTTAAGAAAAACTACACTTTTTACTTTATAACAATAACATAGAGCATTTAGTTTTTTGACACACGCTCAGTTTTGTGACAGTTTTCCAATTATTCAGTAGTTCTGGTCAGATAAAACTTGTTTGTGTTTTGGTTTATGTTCGGCTTTAGATGCGAATTCGGGTTGCCTCACTAGTTTCACGTCATTATCATTTAACTCTAAGTATTCATTTTATTGATTCCGAGCATGCGCTCTCAATCTAATCCATCGTACGTAACTTGAATTCAATTTCAAACAGCGGCAACACTTAAATTGTAATTTGGAGGGCGATAAATTATACTCAGATCGTCTGTCAAAATGTAAATAAGGTATCTCATTGAAATAAATTAAACACAGCTTGATGGAGTTACTGTAAATGTCAAATATAGTGAAAAACACGATTTATTATGTGGGCATGAATCAATACATAACAATTTTAAGATTAAATCCTGGATCCCAGAATCTTCACTATCATAATCATCAAAGACCTTCCCCTGGATGTTAGTATGCTGATGTTTATGTGATAACAAACTTATGTGACAAAGAAAGTGACTTGTTGCTTCAAACAGTGCCGGTGTCAGAGTAGGACGCGCATAGCAGAAAACAATGCCACAGGTCTGCGAATTACAGTGTAACTCCCCTCAAATTTGGTTAAAAAGGGGATGCAAAAAATTTGAAAATCTAGGAGCTAGTAACGCTCAAACCAGTATTATCCTTAACCTTAGATTATTAAAATAAAATTTGCTATAAAAATAATTATAAATTTTTGTTTTCGCACAGTAAAATATACAATTAATTCTATCAAAGAATCTTGCGATTTCAATTATTGTCGAGAGGAAAAAAGTCATTTAAATTACACACAGACTAAACGCTCTGTTGAATTATTAATGAAAATAAATTATTAATTCTAGTAAAGAATTGTATTGTACTAAATAATTTACAATACTTAATTAAAAAGAAAACTATTGTTTCATAAAAGCATTATAAATAAAAGTAAATGGGAGATATGTCCTTTCATTGTTTGCTTATTGATACAATTTACTGTAATGTACTTTACACTCATTTTAATAAGAATTATTTTTGCATTCATTCATCGTGTACAACGTAAGCAAAACATGATTAATTTTTTGAAGATATTTAAATAAAAAATCACTGAACTTCTTAAAGCGTTATTACTATTTATCATCTAATCTTTTATCATCTCAATTACAAATTCGAATCAGGAATTTACTTTAAAAATGAAACTGTTTTTCAAAGCAATCATCGTAAATTACGCGCCAACCCTGACTGCGCGCTATAAGACGACTGTTGACAATGGCTGATGTTTCATTCGAAGCCACTTTTTCAGCGGGAAAACATCGTTACGTTTTATTTTCAAATTTTAAAATATAGCAATCGAAATTATAGTTTTTTTTTAATAATTAGGCATAAGTTAAAATGTAATTTTTTGAAATTGTAAGTGAACTACTTTTTCGATTAATAAAAATACGCATAATTAAGAACATTGAAATAAAGTACATTCAAGATGTGCAATTAGATTTAAAAACTTTTAGTGCATGCGTGTAATAATAGATATTAGATTTATTAAAAAAAATTATTGTCAAAAAAAAAGATGGAAGCAAATTGGACATTATTCCCGCGTATCGGTCTGCGGTCTCCAAACTTAACCAACACCACAGTAAGTCTTCAAGAGAGTTTCGAAATCGATCTTGAAGATACCAACTGGATTTTAACTTCCTCATTTATTATATTCACAATGCAGACTGGTAAGTAACAAATAAATTAAAAATGTTTTGTTCTACATTTTTTATATTTCTCACGGAAAATATGAATTTTCCTCAAAAGTAAGGTCGAATCTAAGTTTACCTACATGTCATAGTTTTATCTTTTGAATCATAAACACTTTTTAGAACAAAATCTTTCAAGAGCAAACTATGTGATTTTTAATACATAAATTTGGCCAATTGTAATTGCATCTATGACAAATATAAATTCTTAACCTCATTTTATAAACAACCAATAATCCTGACTGACAAAAAATAAATTAATGTAGTCGAAAACATAGAGTAAAAGAAAGTTAGAAATGATAAAAAAAAGTTAAGAAATACTAATTTAATATGTACACTAATAAATTTTAATTTGGTCCCTCTGTAAGTATTTTGAGTCTATGTATAATATGATAGTCCAGGGCAAAAGTCTAATCGAATGTCACCTCTTTGGTCAAAATCGGTTCAGTAGTTAAGGTTGTAGGTTGTCACAATGTAATTTATATACATACAAACCCACATAATTAAATGTGCGCGAAAAACTATATGTATGCATGTATATTGTCATTGCGTGATAATTATTTTATGATATCCTAAAACTTACAATAACTCAATCTCTTCAGACTCCATAACATTTATAACCTCCAATTATGTCTCAAGTTGTACGAAAATCGCATTCAAAATAATGATTAGGATTGCTCATATTGCCATGGACGAAATGTATTATCGTCATAAATTTTAGGAGCTCAATTATTATTCACGGCAAATCTTTGTACGAATTCATAATTTTTTTTTTTTACCTAATTGGAATTCAAGATTAGTTAACCCATAATTTTTTTTGACTGACAAGATTCCTTAATCTTTGTTATAGGTTTTGGTATGTTGGAATCAGGATGTGTTTCTATCAAAAACGAAGCTAACATTATGATGAAGAATTTGGCAGACATCTCACTCGGCGGTATGTTTATACTTATTTTGATGAAATTTAATTTATTACTAGCTTTCGCTCGCGACTCCGTCCGCGTGGAATTTAAAAAAACAAAAGTGTGTAGCTTAAGTTTTCTTCCAGACAATCCTCTACACTAAAATTCATTGAGATCCTTTCAACCGTTTAGGCTACAAACTCTAACAAACATCCATCTAAACTTTTGTATTTATAGTCATAAGTAAGATCACCAAATTTTTAAACTTTTTGTTTGGTTTATAATTCAGGTTTAACTTATTGGATCTTCGGGTACGGGTTATCTTTTGGCCAAGGTTCGTGGTCGAACCCGTTCGTAGGAGTTGGTGACTTCCTGCTCGATCCTCCAGTCGGCGATGCGCTAATGGGCCCGGTGTTCGCGTCATTTCTCTTCCAGTTATCTTTCGCAACTACTGCCACTACGATTGTCAGCGGTGCTATGGCTGAAAGGTGATTATTTACGTTTGTTTCAAACGTTATCCGTTGATGTTACCAATAGACCCGATGGCACAATTACATTGTTTTTTTTTATGCCAATGTGTTCATAGGTGCAACTTCAAAGCGTACTGCGTGTTCTCACTGCTAAACACGATTGTATACTGCGTGCCTGCTGGCTGGGTGTGGGGCGAGCACGGCTTCCTTAACAAGCTGGGTGCAGTCGACATCGCTGGCTCTGGGCCAGTGCACCTTATTGGTAATTAACACTTCTGGCGCAGTTAATGTCCCCATATATCGTCTTATATTCTTGTATTTGTATTGCATAGGAGGATCATCAGCATTCGCATCTGCTCTGATGTTAGGACCACGGCTAGGCCGCTACGCGCGAGGCACTGCGCCTCTACCAATGGGCAACCCAGTCAACGCTGTTATGGGCACATTCGTTCTCTGGTGGGGCTGGCTTGCTTTTAATTCTGGAAGCACTTATGGGGTAAGATTATATTCTCTTCTGTGGGTATAAACGACAATTTCCTGTTAATAGGCGACTGAAAATAGTGTTTAGGCGTCCTTATATCATATTTTATTTAATTAAAATGATAAATTCTTAGCTGACTTCAACAAAGTAAGTGACATTACTTCACCAAAAGCAGCCGTCAACATAATTATAAGCAATTTTTAATAACTGTACTGAAAATTGACGCTTAATTTAATATTAGGATTTTTCTTTTAAATGTTAACAAAATTAAACAATCACTACTTACTCATGATTTATTACTAGCGTGCAAGGTAAATTGTTGTCATTACGTGAAAATACGTCTAATTTTAAAATCGCGTCGTTTACGACCAATCAAACTGAAATGAGCGCATTAGTGTTCATGTAAATAGCGCTGTTTAAATACTAATTGGCAGTTAAGTCCATTTATTATGCATCGACTGTGGTTTTGCCTTTTGTACTTTGGATGTCTGAAATTAGCTCGAAGCTGAAAGCTTGGAATTGTTTTAATGTATCTTAATTATACAGTATTACGGTTTCAATATTTACCATCAAAAAACCTTCAATATATGTATCTACTAGCTTTCGCCCGCGACTCCGTCCGCGTGAAACTAAAAAAGTGAATAGCCTATATATTCTTCCAGACTATCCTCTACATCTATGCGAAATTTCATCAAGATCAGTTCCGCCGTTTTGGCTAGTAACTCTAACAAACATCCATCCATCCATCTAAACTTTCGCATTTGTAATATATAAATTTTCCGGATTGGAAAAAAAGCTAATAAATCTTCAATATAGTATATTTTTAAATTCGTTTGTTCTGACAATTTAATGCTATGAGATACTAAAAGGTTTTAAAAAAATTAACCCGATTCTTTCTGATTGCAATTCTCTTTCATGTTACAAAAACTATAGAATTAGAATAAAGTTAAGTAATAACAACTTAATTACTTGACTTGTGACAGAAATATATGCAGTTTCCCGTAAAGACTTGTTACAAAGTGGTTTGTATTGGAGAAGGAGGAAACTTCACAGTTATTGTGTCATCAAACCTATAACTGTGAGGCCATAGTGTCCTCGCTTTTTACATCCTTAAATTTCGAAATCATATACAATACTTTCTTGAACTGCTATTTAATATCAAGTTGAAGTACTGACTGCCATACTAATCATTTTGTAAATAATAAAAAACTTGTGGAATGCCTTTTTAAAAATTAAGGGAATTTATTATTAAGTTGGCATGAAATCGTACGAATTTAATTTTTTTTTTAACCTAATTAGATCAAAAAGATATGGAGTGTATCGCTGGTCCTATTTTTTACCACCTTTTACGTGCAAAGTTTAACAGAAAAAAAAACATACAGACGAATTGAGTACCTCCTTCTTTTGGGAAGTCGGTCAATAAAAATAAATATGTTTCTTCTATTTTCATTGTAGGTAAGCGGGGCGAAGTGGCAATACGCAGCTAGAGCAGCGGTTATGACGATGATGGGATCTTTTGGAGGCGGATGCTTCGGGATATTGTTAGTTAAATATATTTCACATGCTTTTAAACATTTATTCGTAGCTTTCTAATGTTTTTTCAATATATTGTAAATATTTAAACATTTTTTAATGCAGTTACACAATGATCAAGAACAAAGGGAGAGCAGAAGTTATGGAAATGATCAACAGTGTATTGGGCGCTCTGGTTTCTGTCACCGGTGAGAACTTAATGTAGATTTTTCTGACTAAAGCGCCTTAATGACCATTAAATGAATAAGGAAGCGCCAATTTCTTTAGACAAGGGGTCGGACAGCCTATCACAGTCGCGGCTTAAAATCCCACCATTAGACTATTGTTGTAAACCATACCCTAGATATTAGTTGAACTGATTAAAATAATGGTTGAAATGCTAAATATTATATTAACCAAAACCTGCTATTAATTAAAAATGTCTATAGTTCAATATTTAAATATGTAAGAATCTTAAATAACAAGGATAAGTTTAAGCGGTTTGGAGTTATCAAAATTTCATTAAAATTATGTTTTTCAAATTGTAAGCGGTGCTTTGTTTCAGTATTCGGTTTAAGTTGCGAGTAAAGTGGTAATAAAAAAAAACATACAGACGACTTGAGTACCTCCTTCTTTTGGGAAGTCGGTCGAAAATTAAAGCATAATTCAACGTGTCTCAAGTTTATATGTTTTTATAGCGGGATGTTTCCTGTACCGCGCGTGGGAGTCCCTAGTGATAGGTATGATAGGTGCGGCCATCGCCACCGGCAGCGCCATACTGTTCGACAAGATGCACGTTGATGACCCCGTCAGTGCTTCCGCGGTGCACGGTGCATGTGGATTCTGGGGTACGCAGTCTGGTTTTTTTAAGACTAATACAACTGACCTCTATAAATGTAGACTATAAACTGTGTATTTAATGTCTATTTGATGTTCGACATTTATGCACTCATGGTTGCAGTAGATTTCGGTAGATTTTTTGTAATTAAGGATAGTGATTGACTTAACTGTCTATAACGTCAAAGGCGCGTTAAAATCAGAACGAAATAAAAGCTGTAATTGCTAAAACTTCGCCTATCTATATCCAATCAATGATAGCCTTTTTAAAGTTTGCATTTGTCTGATAATGTCTCTATAGTAACTACCTGGCGTTTGCACGTCGGGAATAAGAGTACTCCTTGTCTCCATGTGCCAACTCAATCAGTACTATATTCATTACAAGTGAAATAATTTTATTGTTTTTCGACAGGAGTGTTGGCTGTTGGACTCTTTGCTGATAACCCTATTCCCATGGAAACGACCAATGGCAGATCTGGTTTATTTAAAGGTATATTTTAAATTTGATTTACAAACACGATTACAGTTTTTTTACCTTACTTTTGCTACTAGTGACTAAATGCATACCTTAGTAGATTAAGAGCAAACGCACAACTTTGACTAAATTATCGCACAACTGTTATGCGATAGTTTAGTCAAACATGTGCACCCGCTCTTAGGATGCGTTATCTACACTATGAAATATGAGAGGTTTGTTACGACCTCACCAAATAAAAATTAGCGGGGTAAAAGTCAGTTTTCTTAGGGTGTTAGTAGCTTTTGTTAACTGACGTCCTAAATAGAGTTTATGAATTGCTGTCCTACCTCAAATTCGAAGCTATTTACATCCTTGTATAAAATGTTAGTTAAAGACGCACTTAGTTTTTTATTTCGTTTCATTGTAAAACATTCCTAGCACAAGCCTAGGGCTTACCTAAAATGGTTAAAAACATTTACTAGAATTATCAAAAATCTGCTAACATTTTTATTAAAAACTAGCTTTCGCCCGCGACTTCGTTCGCGCGGATGTATATCAATATAAATCAAAATCGAATAGCCTATGTGTTCTTCCACACCATCCTCTACGTCTATACCAAATTTTATCGAGATCTGTTCTGTTTTTTAGACTACAGACTAACATCCATCCATCCATCTAAACTTTTGCATTAATAATATTAGTAAGATGTACTTCGTTGACTTCTACTTCGCGAAGTACTTTGTGTAAAGTTTCGCGTAAGGTTAGTTGTGTCATGTTACAACAGGGGGCGGTTGGTACCTGCTGGGCGTGCAGTCGCTGACGGCGCTGTGCCTGGCCGCGTGGGGCGCGCTGGTGACGCTCGCGCTACTGTGGCTCATCGACCGCGCGCTGCCCATCCGCATGGACCCGTACAATGAGCTGCTCGGCGCTGACCTCACCGAGCACAGGATACGACATGGACAGGTTAGATGCCCTCGCTCTTTACTCTGAAATAACAGACACACTACACACACTTGTATATTAAATTTCACTTATGTCATAAATGAGAAAGTTTAGATAGGATGTTTGTTGAGAGATTTTAGACTAAAGTACTGAATGGTTCTCAATGTGGCTATGTTTTTGGTTTGTGTTTTTAATTCCACTTTTTAATTTGGATGTAAATCGTCGCGAGCGAAAGCTAGTATGTAAAGATCATTTATTTACTAAATTCGTCGGTGTGTTGTAAAAAAAAGTAAGTAGGTTATGTGTTCTTCTAGACTATCCTCTACATCTATGCCTTTCATTGAGATCCGTTTAGCAGTTTAGGCTGGATTAGGCTACAAATTTTCGCATTTACAAAATTACTAAGATTTCATGTAACAATTACTATACATATTGTACAATCTACAGTGACTATAATAATTCTAGTTGTAATTCGAGATTTCGTATTGTTTAACATTCAATATTTTTTTCAAATACCGCTTAGTGTTGATTTTTCTGAGAATTTGAGACAAATTTAACACAAAATTGATTCTCTAACTATATGTAATAACAGGTGGGAGTTTCCCGAGCTGTGTCAGCATTACGACCATTCCATAGATCCAACAGTATAGAGGAAGTCGGCGGCATTGGTGTCAACACTGGCCACAGTCTGATTGTAGATAAATTACAAGAGGTTTGTTTTTCGTCATTTATGCAAATTATTTCAACTATAATAGCTTTTTATTTTGTAACTGTCCTTTCCTTATAACTTATTTTATTATACAGGCAAAAAAGAAAAATAAAACCAGTCCAGAGCCCACCTTACAAAACTACACGAACAATGCATTTGAGGAAGATAATATCGGACAATATAAAAGTAATGGATTTTTAAACAAACGACCTGGCAACCCTGAGAACGACCTTCACCGCGCTCTAGACTCTATGGCGCACGAGATAAGCGACGCGAAACCTAAAAAAGGAAACGAAAAGAAAGGTCAAAAGGAAACTAAAGTCATACGATTAATACCAGAAGATATAAAAGGTAAAAAGTTCAAGGATCTGTCAGTAACCGAACTTGAAGAATTGGGTGAAATTAACGCGAGTCAAGATCGATTTAGATATCGATATACGGAAGATGATTATCGAGATGATGTATCAAGAAGTAATACGGCTAACGTCGATATTAAATGGATAAATTAAATGATAAATGTATCCAATGTATCCTAAGTTAATTAATTTATAAGAATTGTTTAAATATAACTAATGATACATCTACATGCCTTATCTGTATGTGTTGCCATATGTACTATTCACCAATATTCAGGAATATTTGCAGTGCACACTTGGCCAGTACAGTTAGACAGTTGTGATGTCTACATGGCCAATAGATTGACAGTCCAGTTATTAAGCGCTACTGTACAACTGTTGCCAAGTGTGAACCGCATTACGCATTAGGTTTAAAACAGGTATCCAATGAAGTAATGAAGAATACTATTTTATAATATTTTAATTAAAAAATTTCACTATTAAACCAAAAGCTAATTTCAGTTGGCAATGATTTTGAAGTTTTGACAGCTTCTTTAAGATCATGTTCCGGTACAGCGAGGGTGTACAATTTGTATTCCTTCTGCATCCCGCTGGTGGTGGTTTCATTCATGCTGTAGATAGAGTCAGTACTCCTCACCGGCATTATAACTTCTAACTCTTGAAGATGCTCAAAAGCTTTCAGTATCACCGGCCTAGGTACTGTTTGGGTTGATGAATTTTTATCAACGAATTTTTTGTACCTATAAATAACAGATGTTATGAATCGTTTATTTTAGAAGTTTTTACATGATAGTTATTATAAAGTCTTACTGCTGTACCCATTCAAAATGTCACCATTAGCATAGATTGAAGGTCCCTAAGTCGGCAATTACCAAGATGAAATTCAAAGTAATTTAATTAGTGACTAGTAAATCAAATTAGATGATCACTAAGGGATCCCTAAGAGAAAATTGAGAACCCTCTTAGAGATCTCAAGTACTATGGTTAAAAATACATTGTTCGATTATCATACCGATATTACCTATGAACTATTTTATTACTCTTGAATATTTTAAAAGTTAAATACTACACTTACCTATGTAATACCATTTCAAAATTCATCGGTTGACCATCAAATATGTCCATGCCGTGTTTCATGGCGATGACCAGAGACAACTCTAGGGTGGACAAAGATTGTAACACTTTTACTCTATGCTCTGGCCCTACGGTGTTGTCTATGATTGTAACAAAACCCACAACGTCTATGTGTGGGCTTGTTTCGTTCAAACGTGAAACAACTTGAAACTGAAAGAAGATAGTTTTTTTAATTATATTAAAATATTAATCAATAGTTACTACAGCGACTATCTACTTATTAATATTATTACACTTTAAAAAAAATGGATGTCATAAAACTGTCATATAAACTGATTAATAAGAATAAATTAAATTTCACACAACAATTCCAGTAAAACTCACCAAGATATTCCTAAATATCTGCTCATTAACTGTAAAATAGCATAACTTTTCCAAAGCATTGACAATATCTTTATTTTCGACCAAACTTAAGATATGAGAGCTCCAATAAACAAGAGAATTTTCATCAAATTCTTGAAACTGTTTTGGGTCTACCCTACATCTTGCCAACACTTTAGCTGGTACTGAATATTGAATTGTATCATCATTTAATTCTACTTCCATTTCTTCTTCAGTTACTGCTAAATAAAGAGATTTTTTTTATAACTTTAAAGTTACATGTTACATTATAATTGTTGGTTTCAACTCCACTGAGACCTACTTTAACACATTTTGTCACCCCCAATAGTTCCCAACCAGTGATCCGTAGAAATTGATGGACCAACAAATTATCCTTGAATGGTTTTAAATTTATTTATTCATTAAATTGTTGGTTATTATGTAGTGGGAGAGAATAGCACTGGTGGTAGGGGAGGTAGTAGTAGTAGTAGTACAGGGGTGGCCCGGGTCTACCTTATAGTATGTGCTGATAAATAAGATAAAATTGATCCCCGACTAAAGGTTGAGAGCCTCTGCTCCTTCACAATTTTTTGACAAAACAGATTAGTAGTGGTAGTTAGTAGTAGTATTGGCTATGGTATTAGTAGTGCGGCTACGGGTGGACAATACATAGATAACATGTGACAATACAAGTTTCATAGGAGTCAAAACTCACAGTTAATATGTTCAGTGCCACTAACATTGTACACATTATAGTGAACAGACAAGTTAATGGCTCTGAAAGTATTAAACCACTTACCCATAGATTTTCGTCTGCCTCCCCTTTTCTTTTTTGTACCTCCGTGTTTCCTTATCAAACTCAATGGTACACTTAGTAACTGAATTAATCTTACTTTTAAGTTATCTACAGGCTTTATATTGTCATTAGGAAATATGAATATGTGCCGATGTGAGAAGCGAGATTTGACGCGTTTTTCTAACATTTCCATGACATCCAAACGATTTGTTATACCTGTTTATATGAAACACATAATTTTTACTTAATTTATTTTCCATTAGAAATATATGCCCTGCACCCCCAATCATCTGTTTCTATCTCAAAGATGTCCAGTATATTTTTCTTCAATAGACAAGTTTCAAGCAATATTTAATGTAGTAAATAGAAAATGTACAAAGCCAACAAAAATACTTGAAGAAAAAATGAAAATAACAAAGAGAACAGTAACAGGTGAATATTGTGTAAAAATCTACAACAATCAGCATAAAAAACATTTATATACTCACCTAAAACACACATAGGTGCCTGTTTGTTGTGAGTGATATCAAATAAATTGTACAATAAGGTCTGTGTTCTTCCACTATGACAGAATAAATCAAACTCCTCTAAAATAAAAACCATACTCTTGCAACTCCGGTCAACACCACTCTGCAGGCAGCTTAACAAGAAGCTAAGATTCTCCGCAAAAGTGCCAAATACACGATCACCAACTGCATTCTCTAATTGCATCTGAAAGTATATACAAAAATAGTTAATAGGTGCTAAGATTGGAGAATTGTAAATCAAATGAGACCTCCTAAAGGAGGTAATATTTTCATCAATAAATTGATTTCTTTTGAAACTATAACAATGTTCATTGCAAAATCCAACCCTTTTGGGTGACAACAAGTTTGTCTACAAAGAGTTGGCACACTAGCCACCTAGACTTTTGTCTCTTTAGATATAAAAATAGTTACAATAAAAACAAACATGAGGGAAAACTAAAGAAAAGGAGATGTGATTGTCAATAATACATGTACAAATTTGAATAAGAATGTTATGTTAGTTAGCTCTTGTCGATAGCAAGTTAAAGAAATACCTGTGCTGTTATGGACTTCAAGGCAATCTTATCATCCTGATGAAGAAGACCATTGAGTTTAATAATAAGACAGTCATTTTCTAAGTCCAATTCACTCTCTAATTGCCCAAGAACAGAGTTGATTAACTGAAATAACAATAAAATATCTTATAATAATAATATTGACAAATTGTGAATCTAATTAAATAACTGTAAAAGAATATATAATTAGTTTTAAGTAAAGCTGATAATTCATTGTTCTTAACAAATTCTGGCTAACAGAGGCTTGAGCCTGGTTTACCTGCCAGTAAAGTAAACAATTAGCTCTCAAAAGCACTAGCATACAGTATAAACTGGTACCACTGAGGCCATAAAATATGCCAGACCTGAGCTACTGTTGACCATACTGGCCAAATGTAACTAGTTTTTAAAGTAACGGGTTCTTTTCTTTAAACAAAAAAAAAACATTAGCTTTGTTCTTTTTTTGAAAATAAAACAGCAGAATATAGAGAATTAATGTTGAAGCTCTTAATTCAAAATTACTTCCTCCTTAACAAGAGGAAAATGAAAATGATCGTTAAAGTACTTAAACTTATCAACTCACAGTTGTTTTCCCGCAACCTCTAGGTCCTATGACTAAAGCAGAATGTGATTCTCCGTTTGAAACAACCCTCTTGATCAAATCATGTACATGATTTCTTTCTATTTCGTGGTCTTGAAATTGTACATTATCTTCCAATACCTTTATTTTTAAATACTTTCGAATTAGTTTAATATTCAGAGCAAGCGGTTCTACACCATATGTCTCGCACATTTCGCAATTAGCTAATCGATAAGGAAGAGTAATTAGTAAATCAAAAATGTATGAATAAATTGATTTTTTAATCTCTATACCACTTTAAACTAACGCAATAAAAAATAAAAACAATTATACCAATTTAACAAACACAACAAATAATTTTCGCGCGCTTTTGTATAATATCTGTCAATGTCAAATATCAACTTTTTTCTTGAATATAAAGGTATACGCGACCCACAGCTTATCAACTCAATGAAATTAATAACTGAAGTATGGTGAAATGGAAATGTGATACTACTATTAATTTCTGGTTTTACAAATAAGCAAAAGCTTAGTTGTGTAAAAAGACATTCATCTTCATTGTTAATATTCCTTTTAATTAGGTATGTTTGCAAATTACGAGTTGTATTAAGGTTTATATCACTATGATCTTATTCATCCTTAATCAAACATCGAAATCAAAAAGTATGCATAAAATCTAACGGATTAGATAGAGTATTGTACACATTGCTACATGCTATATTTAATTAGTGCATGCCACGATTTATTTAATGAAATATAGGAATTTCGTAGTGCGCATGTATCCAATCTTAACTTGCGCACTCCAAATTGAGAAGTGATCGATATTTTAAACACTATACACGAGAATTATCTTCAGAAATTATTAAATGTTTTTCTTTGCCTATTTTGCAATGACGAAACTTTTAGCAAGAAAACCATTTTGTCCTTATATTAAGCCCTGCTTAAATATATATTTTTTAAATATTACGTAGTCAAGTATAAAGATTTTGTCTTAAGAAAAATAATCCACCCTCATTTATCTCATTTGGAATTGCCGCATTACTTTGTATAATCATACCATCTCTTTCACCCCTATGGTATTTAAGTATTGCACGTCCTTTTTTTGACCTTAAACCTTGGCAAATATAATATAATTATTTCATACGAGATTTTATTTATGCAGGATCAGATTTTTGCCGGAAAAAAATACTTAAACATGTTGAACTATAATTTGGCTACATTTATCTTGCATACGGAAGTTAATATAACATTAAAAATAAAACGTAAATGAAAATACGTTTGTTAAATTATTTGAAAAATAGTTACTTCTTTCTTCAGAAGAAAATTAATACGTTATCAGAGATACAAATCAATTCTTCATCATATTATAATGCTTATAAAGTGAAAGTGAAGTCAGTGATCATAACATGTTAAATAAAAAATCTTACGAAGTGAAAGTGTGATTTATCATCAATAAACAATGAATTTAAAAATGTGGCGCAGGTTCTAAATAGTCCAATTAATAATATTGCAAATTTTGCACACACACGAGTGATAAACACAATGTAATTTTGCGTTATATTTTTGCTTAAGCACCTCAAAAAAGGCTTTTAATGTGAAATATCGGTAGCTTCTATAATTTAGAACAGTGTATTCCAAGTCAATCAAGTTTTAAATGTATTTATGGATACATTTTAACATAAGCAGTAATATACCTTGCGAATAACTATAAAAAAACAATGTTTTATAATTCATTAAAATCTACTATTCACCAAGAATAATTTAATAATCCAAGAATAAATTTGCTAATAAGGATATAATTGTATTTGAAATTGATGCAAAATATTGTTAAATTCCAAAAATTGCGTTGTAAAAAGTTAAACGAAAATAGTACATTTTTGTTTGTGTAGTCTGTGTACGCTTCCACATCTAAATCGCAAAACTCGCTTTCTTGCTTTGTTTCCTTCGCCCACCGTGTTTTTATGCGTTTGTTTTGGGTACTTTTAAGTGCAGTGATTTTATTTGCAGTGTTCGTGATGTTAAATTTTTGTATAATAAGTGAATTACGATTTATGTATGTAAATTAAAACGTAAGTACTGCTAGCTTTTTTTGAAAACATCGCACAACTTTTATTTTAATTGATATGTAGGTGTTCGATAAAATTGGTTGATTTCGTATCTTTTCTGGCGAATGATGATTTTTTTTCCATAAATAACTTGATAGTTGATTAACTTTTATTGCTTTTAAGTGTAATTTATTTTATCTCCCACGTCGAAACTGTTTAAATCATTTCTCTGTACGTATATTTTATTGTGATCGATGTTCATGTTAGTATACGCCTAACGCCTACTAGAATTTCCTAGTAATATGTTAAGATAAAACGTTTTTAGGCATATAAATAAACAACATTCTCTACACACTTATTTCAATAAATCTTATTTAGAGTAGTCATTTATGTTTTGCGCGTTATGTTTTCTGTCAGATGCGTTTTTGTGTTCGATTTTTAAATATTCGTCTATAAAATGTAACTTAGCTTAGCAATCTATCTATACTTCTATACTAATATTATAAAGAGGAAGGATTTTTGTGTGTAATTGATATAACTCAAAAACTACTGGACCGGTTTCAAAAACTCTTTCACCATTAACAAGCTATGTTATCAGTGAGTAACATAGGCTATCTTTTTTGTTATATTTTAATTTCAAGCGGGTGAACTCGCAAGCAGCAGAAACTATGTAATGTTTATGTTACACTAGTTAAGTTAATCAATTCATCATGCTACTAAATGTTCTCAAATTTGCTAAACCCAACTACAATCTGGATCAATTACGTCTTCTGTATTAATTCAATTTGGCTAGTGATTTGCAATACAAAATTATTTTAAAGTTCAATTAAAAACAATAGACCATAAAATTTTCCTCCTTTGTCCACTCACAATGCAATAAGCATTAACATTGTGTCTGATTTTTAACTTTATTGTGATATACCTAGAAGTTATTTAATTTTCATGTAACATAAAATAGCCTTAGCCTTTAATGCCTTTCTAGTTACTTAAATATTACTCACAGAAAATCAAAACACTATCACTGCAACCAAACACACAGAATTAAGTTTACAGATTGATTTATAACATTAACTGGCAATAAATACTTTTTAATTTTTGACTTTCAG